CATTTGACCGAAGTAAAAATGGCTATGCCGAGCCACAAAGTAGGCCGTACTAACAGTTGTTCGGTTCTTCTTCACGCTATCATATCTCGGTTCTCTCATACATGAACCGTGGTATGTTCGGACCGAACCAACGACTCGACCGGCATAACTCTCAAACCGGTATACCTCTAAGGCCGGTCTAACTTCAAGACCGGTCTAACTTCAAGTTGCTCCCCAAACCGAAGTACTTTACAATCCTCTAACCGAAGTAACTCTGTTACTTCGTAAGCCGAAGTAATTTCACCTCCTTGGGCCGGAGTAACTCTGCTCTCCTGGGCCGGAGTAACCATTACGGCCTTTTTTTACTTAGTCCTTCGCGTTTTTGGGAATTAAAGCCCAACTCGCAGCTCGGCCCAATTTTTCCCAAAAATTACCCTCTCAGGTTGCATGATTGGTCTTTTGCAAGTGCAACTTTGTTATGTGAAGCCAGAATAATGTTTTCCTCAATACCAATGTAGCATTTATGCTGCATTTGGACGTTAAGGGAACAACATTGCTGTTAAGTTTGCCCATGTGCTCCCATGTAATGTGTGTTATATTTATACACAATCAGAATATCATAACAAAAAAATAAATAAATAAATAAATAAAATTGAAATTTATAGTGTCTCCGAGGTTGGAAATGTGGGTATATAAAAGAGTTTTGCTATATATACAAACAACATTTTTATACAAAAAAAATTTATACAGAATAATGTGTTTTTTGTGACTTTTAATTTGAAAAATACCATCATCTCATCATTTTACATAAAAATTGTCTATAAAAATTATGTTTATGTAACCTTTTTTCTCCGCAAAAGAGAAAAGATGTTAGTTGAAACTAGGATATGTGTTTGTTAACTTAAAGGTATGGCAATGCAAGGAAGGCATCACGAGTAGACTAGGATCACCTTTTTGCAAAAGGTGAAAGTTCTCAAATCAAAAGCTTTTTGGTTTTAGGCATGTGGTCATTACAAGAAAAAGTATTTTTGGCGATTAAACTAAATTTTTAGTCGTCAAAAGTCGACTTTTCACTTTCTCCGACTAAATATTTTAGTCGCCGGTTTTGTCGCGAATACATGGTCGCCGGAGGTATTGGCGACTAAAATTGTTTTAGTCGGCAAAAAACAGGTCTTTAGCGACCAAAGCTTTTGTCGCCAATAGTCAATTACATTTTTGAAAATTATACATTTAGCGACTAGTCTTTATCCTCTACTGTTCCCAAGTTTCAAACCACCAACCTCCCACATTATAAACCTTTAGCAACACACTCTCCCCACTATGCCACTACAACATCACATAAATATAAATGCAACATATATTATTTCGGTTTTGTCGCGAATACATGGTCGCCGGAGGTATTGGCGACTAAAATTGTTTTAGTTGGCAAAAAAACAGGTCTTTAGCGACCAAAGCTTTTGTCGCCAATAGTAAATTACATTTTTGAAAATTATACATTTAGCGACTAATCTTTTAGTCGCCAATAGTGAATTATTTTTTTTTTATTTATACATTACCGACTTTTTTTTTGTCGCCAATAGTCAAGCTTTTGGCGACTAATTCCATTTTAGTCGCCAAAAGCATATTTCAGAAAAAAAAATTTATCCTCTACTGTTCCCAAGTTTCAAACCACCAACCTCCCACATTATAAACCTTTAGCAACACACTCTCCCCACTATGCCACTACAACATCACATAAATATAAATGCAACATATATTATTTATATAGTATATTGACCGGTGTTAATACAAAACTATATTTATATAAATAATTATTTTTATTTAATATAATTTATGTAAAAAATAAATTATTTACTAAAAAAATAGGAGACCACTTTTGGCGACTAAATTTGTTTTTTAGTCGCCAATTCTATACTTTTTGGCTACTAATTACTTTTTTGTCGCTAAAAGAATTAATTCCCGCCTAAAACCTCCACTTTTGGCGACTAAACTGAATTTTAGTCACCAAAACCCTCCACTTTGGGCGACTAAACTGAATTTTAGTCGCCAATTGTTGACTTTTAGCTACTAAATATTTAGTAGCCAAAAAGCTTCACTTTTGGCAACGAAATTTTTTTTTGTCGGTAAAACACGTATAATCGGTGACCAAACTATTTTTTAGTCGCCAAAATCTATACTTTTGGCTACTAAAATTTTTTTAGTCGCTAAAACTCATATAATCGGAGACTAAACTGATTTTTAGTCGCCAATAACTATACATTTGGCTACTAAATTGTTTTAGTCGCCATTGGCTAATAATTCCATTTTAGTCGCCGAAAGTGCTACTTTCAGCAACGAAATTTTTTTTTTTAGTCGCCATTTGTGCTTTTTATTGTAGTGGATGTACCTTTTGTTAACAATATTGTGTGATTAAATAAGATAAATAGATTCATATTTGATCAAATTAAATAATACATCCAATAAATTCATATTTGATAAATTACATTGTAGAGCATGAAACATGATTAACAGAAATATTGAAAAGGAATCAAACCAAATTTTGTGTGATACCACAATGTTCTTAAAACAGATTAGCCACCTCACCGTGGGTGCTTGAGGAACGTCGATTTTTATTTCCCAGGATAAGACATTTTAGACCGGCTAACACAGAAGCACCTTCTGGAAGAATATTATAATAGTAAGCAAACTGACTATATGATTGGAAGGCAAAAACTTATGTACCAAACCAAGGGAAATGGGTCTCCCCTTATACACAATGGGGGAGAGAGGAGAAGTCTCCAGCCATCAAGGCTGGCCACTAATGGGGGCCATTACTCTTGCAAAACTGCTGGAGTAATGTACAAAACTGATGGGAATTCAAAGTGTGAGTTACACACAATATACACATATGTGTATAATATACATTTCTGCAACAGACTTGAGCCTGCAGTAGATCTGGAACAAAAAGAATAAGTTAGTGGACCACCAATCCGGCTCAAGCCTCATGCCCATGCCCAAATCCCACGATCCACAGACCCGGCCCTGCCAGGGCAGGCGGTGCGCGCGTGGCAATTTTGTTATAATCAACTTGGACTATAGTCTTGGCCCAAGTCCATCCTTGAATCATCCATGCCTCCCTTCCTTCGGAAAATTTGGATGCCCCAAAGGGTTCATGCCCTTATTATAATCTTGAGATTTAAATACCCATCAAAGTTTTCCTCTACAACCAATGTGGGATTGGTAACACAATTCCCAATACCTCATTTATAAGGCCAATTTTATGAGACAATTTCTCATTCAATTCTTAATGGTTTTTTGTCATTCTTTTTGTTGTGTAAAGACCTTGTTACAAAATATCTAAACCTATTTAATCCTACTTCAACCAATGGTTGGGACCTACTTTAATTTCACATTAAAGTCATCAAAAAACCATTTTTTCCAACACCTTTTATACCCTTCGTTAGGACTATTAGTTTTGCGATTATCAATTTTTTTAGATTGTATATTCTATTTCAAATTTGGATTAATTCAAAGATTATGAAAAAAAAAATTAACAAAATGTTATCAATATTGTATTTAGCCAATTGGTTTGAATTTTTTTTAGTCTCTCATTTTGCATCTTATTACCTCCTATTGCGATTCAGTACATGTTCAGATCTAAATCCTAATTTTCTTAGTCAAATTTGATACACGATAATGACAGAAAATGATTCAAGTAACTGACCTAGAACACAAGACTTGATTTGATTTAGTCTGGCAATTAATTTAATTACAAAGCCATGTCCACCCAAACTTTATGAAGCGCTTATCTTCAAAGCCATCTCATAACTTGTGCTCTATAATTACCTAATAGTTACTAAATAAATAAATAAAAAAAAAACAGTATTCATACTAGAGAATTTCAGAGTTTAGTGGTGGCTTGGATCCAATAGCTCCAAATAAGTTGTATCAACTTTTGTTTTTTTTACTGTCTTTACAAATGAAATGTCTTATATGTATGGACTATGGAGGAGCTATGATCTGTGCAGCTGTCCAGGAATTGACAATTTCAATCTCCTTTTTTTGGCGGGATCATATCATGGATATAAACGGCCAAATGTTTGGCACAGATGAAAATCCCAAATCGGCAATCATGTCTACACTAATCATGCACTGAAAGTGACTTCCATCTTAATATATATATATCTATATTAATGATAGGTGTAAATATGATGTGTTTATAATTTTATAATTAAAATTTTAAATGGTTTAGTGATTGAGGATTACTTTGATAAATGAGAAAAAACAGTTAATAGTTTTGAATAGTTTAATAAATAAAGAAATTATTCAGCAATTATTGGACATGACATATACTAAGACGTGATTTCATTTCTTATCCTATCTTCTTTTTATTTTTATTTTTTGAGTTTTGAGTAAGCTTTAGATCTTTATAAACCTAAAAATATTTGAAGTCACAAAAGCATTGGAGCCTATGTAATCTCTTAAATTCTCTTTTAGCAAGTATACATAATAAAATTACCACCGTCCAATTTTCTTTGCTTCTTCAATGTTGTTTTCTACTAAGCTAATTAATTAGTCTATACTGACATTGATTGAGAGGTATAGATTTTCTTGTTAGCTCTTGTTTGAGGAAAATATGCTGATATGCACTTTGTGAGGCTATAATATAATAACTGTGGGGATGTATTTTCAGAATACCAACACGTGGCATGATGACGCCGACGTGTCAGCCGAGGTGCCACGTGTCGTCATAGTTAAGCCGAGATGATCTCGGAATTGCCGAGGTTATCCCCGAAGATATCAGAATCCGAGATAAGCAGATAAGGGACAAGAGTCCTAAGGCAAAGAGGGGACTTAACCAAGATAAAACTCTTAAGGGAATTTATCTTTTTCTCTTAAAGAGTCCAAAGTAAGTACTAAATTGGTGTTCATAGAAGTCATACTTCTAGTGGGATTTGGGTTGAGTATATTATAAAAGAGAGGCACCCCCGTGGGTCTAAGGTATGCTTTTTGATAATGTACATAAAAATTAGTATGTGTTTATGTATTATTTATTTCTTTATTTTGTGTGAAAATTTGTTGGCAGATGTGGGATGTACCCTGACATAGAGAACACCACCACTACAACCATCCTGGCTGGCGTTGCACCACCAGTGAACATGTACGTATCACCTTCAACATTTCACGGAGTTTAAATTTTTTTGTTTTTCGTTTGGGAATAAATAAAAAATAAATTTGATTATGTACCTATACGGATATGGATTGTAAGTTGTGGATTTCTTGTAGGTACTCTGAGGGATCGGAGAAGAGCTTTGGAGCAGAAGGAGGGCATGGTTGCAAGTGTGGATCAAACTGCAAGTGTGACCCTTGTACCTGTTAAAATGAACAAATATGGATTTCAAGCAAAGCAGCGATATAGCTTGACATGAATGAAAAATAAGGAATGTCTGTGCTTTTGTGTTTGTATGTTGGAAAGTGTCTTGGGGTTATATAAAGCAAAATAAGATAGCCATGGACTTTTGAATAGTCCAACTGTTTGGATTGTGTAGATGTCTTTTGTGGCTACTTGTGAAGCATTTGTGTCTGCTTTGTGGGTTATGGAGTTTGATGTATGTCTATGAAAGGGTGGAAACAAACATGATATGAATATACCTCCTTCAATTGTTGTGTCGTCTATATTTGCATATCTTTTGACAATTTTTTTAAATTTTTTTTACTTACGTGTGCTTTCAGGGCATATGTTACGAAATTAACAAATATGGTATATTATGTATAAAAATGAGTGTAAAAAATAAAGAAAAATTATCCATAAAATCTATATGGGGTAATATTGATCAATTTTTATGAATTGAATGGTCTGTTTGATTTGGAAAGGTAAATTTATTTGATTTGGATTTATTTGATTCAACTTGTTTACTCTATTGGTTGATTTAGTTGCTATCCATTCTGATTCAGTATGCTACGAGCATGGTAATGTGTATAATGTTTCTTTCTCTTTGAGTGATTAGGGGGGTGATTTACTATGTTTATTTTTGGTGGTTGATGTGGTTTTTTGCAAATGTGAGAAACTATTTTGTGAGGAGGGTGGAAATCATATTTGGTAGTGTGGTTTTCTGTTAGAGTAGTTAGGTTTGCATTTTGTTGGTCTGCTCAACTTGTCTCAAGGTGGGTGTGTGTTACGATCACCTTCGTCGGATCGCAACATCTTAGAATTAATTCGAGTCTTTCGACCCGTTGTGAGCTTTGGTTACGGAAAAGAAAAACAAAAAGAATTTAGAGAGAGAGGGAGCCTTGTTCGAGAGAAGCTGGATCTCCAAGTTGACTAGTAAATAGTCTTTTCTGATTATATTTCAAAAGCATCCCTAATACATGACTCAAGGACTCTTTAAATAGATATAGATATGTGCAGATTTGTGATATGTGCATGATCGTATTTTCTAGGACATGAACAATATACAACCCACGACAAGACTCCACTACCTAGCACAACTAACGCCTCAGACTTGGTAAACTAAAACAATATACAAAACAAGGATAATAATAAAGGACAGGTCGTGGGACACGCCCATGCATGCACGTATCATCCCTCCCTGTTGAGAGCTTCCTTGTCCTCAAGGACAAAATCAGTGTACCGTAGTTTGAAGTCGGCCAAATCTTCCCATGTAGCTTCCACCGGCGAATGATTCTTCCAATGGACGAGCAGTTGCTTGCCAGTTGGCCGAACACGGGTTTCTAATATGGCTTGTGGCAGGACGGGCTGATCAGAAAGATTGGTATAAGCTGGGGGCGCGCTTTGAACCACGGCTTCAGAACCAATTCTTTTCTTGAGGAGTGAAACATGAAATACCGGATGAATTTTGCAATCTGTTGGCAAAGAGAGCTTGTAGGCCACAAGACTAATTTTATGGATGATCTGATAAGGGCCAAAAAACTTGGTGACAATTTCTGGTTGAACTGTTTGGACATACTGGATTGCCGATATGGTTGTTTCTTCAAGTAAACCCAGTCACCGACAGAAAACCTAACCTCACGATACTTCAAATCATAAATTTGTTTCATTTGATTTTGGCTCAGCTGTAACTAGTGACGAATCACCCGTAACATCTCATCCTGAGCTTGTAGAGCTTGGTCTACGGCTTCGAGCTTAGTGGTGCCCGGAATATAAGCAAGCAGGGATGGAGGAGTTCGACCATAGATTACTTCAAACGGTGTGGATTTGGTTGTGCTATGGGAGGATGTGTTGTAGATGTACTCAATCCATGGCAGCCAAGTGGTCCATTCCTTAGGTCTATCTGAAGTGATACATCGCAAGTACATCTCTAGGGTACGGTTGACAACTTCCGTCTGACCATCTGTTTGAGGGTGGTATAATTTTATAATTAAAATTTAAAATGGTTTAGTGATTGAGGAATACTTTGATAAATGAGAAAAACATCTAATAGTTTTGAATGGTTTAATGAATAAGGAAATTATTCAGCAATTATTGGACGTGACATATACTAAAACGCGATTTCATTTCTTTTCCTATCTTCTTTTTATTTTTATTTTTATTTTTTGAGTTTTGAGTAAGCTTTAGATCTTTATAAACCTAAAAATACACAAAGTCACAATGACATTAGAGCCTATGTAATCTCTTGAATTCTATTTTAGCAAGTATACATAATAAAATTACCACCATCCAATTTCCTATGCTTCTTCAATATTGTTTTCAACTGAGCTAATCAATTGGTCTATACTGACAATGATTGAGAGGTATGGATTTTCTTGTTAGCTCTTGCTTGAGGAAATTATGCAGCAATTATTGGACGTGACATATACTAAAACGCGATTTCATTTCTTTTCCTATCTTCTTTTTATTTTTATTTTTATTTTTTGAGTTTTGAGTAAGCTTTAGATCTTTATAAACCTAAAAATACACAAAGTCACAATGACATTAGAGCCTATGTAATCTCTTGAATTCTATTTTAGCAAGTATACATAATAAAATTACCACCATCCAATTTCCTATGCTTCTTCAATATTGTTTTCAACTGAGCTAATCAATTGGTCTATACTGACAATGATTGAGAGGTATGGATTTTCTTGTTAGCTCTTGCTTGAGGAAATTATGCTGATATGCACTTTGTGAGGCTATTATATAATAACCAACCAAAGCGTCAAGTCCTCTGTGATTCTGACACGTATATGGTGGATCAGCTCCTCTCCTCCCCTCACCGGCATTATAAATAGCAGTCAGGGCCTCCAACCTTTGAGGCAAAACAATTCAATTTCCTCTGAAATAACTTTCCATTGTTCTCTCTTTCTCGCCCCCTAAAAAAATGTCTGGCTGTGGAGGGAACTGTAACTGCGGCTCTGACTGCAAGTGCGACAGCAGCTCCAAGTATATCTTTTTCTCTCCCCCAACCTCGCACTCCAATTTTCTTGCCATTTTTTTGTTTCCCTATAAAATAGTTTCCTCTCCTTACTATAAAAAAGGTTCAACATCTACATAAAAATTAGTATGTGTTTATGTATTATTTATTTCTTTATTTTGTGTGAAAATTTATTGGCAGATGTGGGATGTACCCTGACATAGAGAACACCACCACTACAACCATCATCGCTAGCATTGCACCACCAATGAACATGTACGTATCACCTTCGACATTTCACGGAGTTTAAATTTTTTTGTTTTTCGTTTGGGAATAAATAAAAAATAAATTTGATTATGTACCTATACGGATATGGATTGTAAGTTGTGGATTTCTTGTTGGTACTCTGGGGGATCGGAGAAGAGCTTTGGAGCAGAAGGAGGGCATGGTTGCAAGTGCGGATCAAACTGCAAGTGTGACCCTTGTACCTGTTAAAATGAACAAAAATGGATCTCAAGCAAAGCAGCGATATAGCTTGACATGAATGAAAAATAAGGAGGAATGTCTGTGCTTTTGTGTTCATATGTTGGAAAGAGTCTTGGGGTATAAAGTAAAATAAGACAGCCATGGACTTCTGAATAGTCCAACTTTTTGGATTGTGTAGATGTCTTTTGTGGTTACTTGTGAAGCATTTGTGTCTGCTTTGTGGGTTATGGAGTTTGATGTATGTCTATGAAAGGGTGGAAACAAACATGACATGAATATAGCTCCTTCAATTGTTGTGTCATATATATGTGCATCTCTCTTGACAATTTGTTTGACAATTTGTTTTAAATTTTTTTACTACCTCGTTTGGGGAGTGGCTATTTTAGCTAAAAAGTCAAAAAGTTACTAAAAGTTGTCACATCACCTCTCTATTTTTCTGCACATCTTTTCGTAAAAAATTAAAAAATTACTAAAATAGCCTGTTCGTAAACGAGGCCAGTTAACAAATATTGTACATTATGTGTAAAAATAAGTGAAAAAATAATACACAATTGTTTCAAACTTTCTTAACACATGTGCTTAAGGGCATATGTTAACACTATTTTTTTTTGTTGGGAGATGGTTAAAGATTGTATGTATATTGGTTTGCTCATGCAATGCCTTGCAAAGTTTTCTTGTTTGGTTTGTTTTTTAGAAAAAATTTTTGGAAAAAGTTCTCTACAAACAAATTTTCAAGAGTAATCAAATCAAACAAATTTTTCTAAAAAAAATTTCAAAATTTTGTTTGGTTATCTACTTTCCAAAATCACTCCCTCATACGCATCAAATCAATTTTTTTTAAAAAAAATCTCTCTCCAAAATAATTTTTCAAAATCATTTCTAAAAAACGCCAAACCAAACAAGTTTTCATACTTTTATCTCAAAAAATACTCTACAAACACAAACTAAACACACCGTTTGTGTTTGAGCTCAAAGAAATAAAGCACTTTATATACTGTTTTTTTTTTTTTTCTGCGAGTAGTAACTATTAGGTAATTATAGAGCACAAGTTATTTCACAAGTAACCACAAAAGACATCTACACAATCCAAAAAGTTGGACTATTCAGAAGTCCATGGCTGTCTTATTTTACTTTATACCCCAAGACTCTTTCCAACATATGAACACAAAAGCACAGACATTCCTCCTTATTTTTCATTCATGTCAAGCTATATCGCTGCTTTGCTTGAGATCCATTTTTGTTCATTTTAACAGGTACAAGGGTCACACTTGCAGTTTGATCCGCACTTGCAACCATGCCCTCCTTCTGCTCCATCAGCAGCCAAAAAAAAAAAAAGAATCAGATCCGATTCAACTCCAGCTCCGACCGCCATCACTGTCGATCTTCCTCCTCCGCCATCACCGTCTTTTTCTCTTCCTCCTCCTTCTCCCCATCTTTTCTCCTTCTCTCTTCCTCTTCTCTTCTCTTCTCTCTCTCGCCTCTGTCTGTGTTCAAAAACAATAAAAGGAAGAAAAAGAAAAAAAAACAAGAAAAGGAAGAAAAAGAAAAGAAAAAAAAATGAGACCCAAAACGACGTTGTTTTGGGTTTTGAGCCAATTCGAGCCAACGATTTCGAGCCCTCAAACAATTTTCATACAATAAAGTTCTTACAACCGGATACAAGCTCTTAAGAGCAAATCTATTAAAAGCTAAACCCTTTTAGCATCACGAAGCACTATATTAAAAATCAACAAAAACTGTAAGTCTTAAGGCCATCTCTAACGTTTAATCAAATCCGTCATCAAATTTGAATTTAATGAAAAAGTACACTTTTTTGGTTTCCAATATTTTCGTCAAAATTATACGTCATCTCAAATGTTTAACCAAATCTATCACCAAATTTGAATTTAGTAAAAAATTACACTTTTTTGGTCTCCAATGGTTTCATCGAAATTGTATTAAATTGAGAACAACCTAAATCTATCACCAAACTAAAGATGTTTTGTACTTTTTAATAATTTATTGTACATAACCGTTGAGTGTTGGACTCACCGGACGTCCCGCCGGATGTCCACCCAGTCATCCACTTAGTTGAAAAATTCAGGTCAATCAAATTCAAGTTCAACCCAGTTGAAGACTGCAATTAAAGAAAGGGATTAACCCAAAAACAAGGTTTGTGTTTCAGAGAACAGAGTAAAACAGAGGAGAGAGAAAAGAATATAAAAACTAGTAGGGGAAAATCGAAAATGGATTTTTTCAGAGAGAGAACAACGAATAAGAGAAAATGGTATTTGCTATTCACTCTGATTCTAGAGTTTAGGAAAGAGATTGAGTTAGAAGATGAGAGCACAAAGGAAGCTGAAACAGAAGTTGACAAGATCAAGCTTGTAGAAGCCACTGGCATGTTGTCTGTTAGTATATGTATTATATATTAGTGCATATATATATTAGCTGTAAAACACCAACTAGTTTTAATAATGTTGTCTTCTTAGTGTACACTTTCCCCTTTCGGTGACTACTTTCCCTTTAGGCCATGATGTTGTTTTGTATAGTGTGTATACCACTTAGGCCATTTTCTCCTATATAAAGGAGACCGTGTATAACATCTATCAACAATCAATAACATCAATATATACACAATTTATTTTCTCTTTATCAATTTATCAATTTCTCTTTCATGGTATCAGAGCTATAAGACTTAGGCCTGTATTTTGTTTTCTCACCGGCGGGCAGCCGGCCGGCAACCTTGCCTTCGCTGCCCGCTGGAATTTTAGAAACAGAGGATGAACCAGAGGGTGAAACCAAGCCATGCTCTGTCTCTGTTTTCCCTCAACAACACGACCAAATTCCATCTTCCTCTCTCTCTCTCAGTTCTAATTCTTCTTCACCAAGCAACCACCATGGCATAGAATGAGGAGCTTCCTCCATCTCAGTCACTGTCGTGGCCCCTCCCTCGGGCATGGTCTCTCTCTCCTATCACACACATATCCTATCACATAGATATATATATATACTCTATCTCCCTTCTCTCGGGTGAGAGAGCGGGGCGGGGAAACATGATCTGAGAGGCTCCATATGCCATATACTACTCTTTACAGTTCACAGGTTGCTGTGAGTGCACATCGCCATGAGCCACCACTACCACTTGTTGCAGCTCCGTTGTAGAAGCTGACCGGAATCAATGTCGGGACAGTTTACGGGGTCATGCCGGACCGATGTAGAAGCTAACCGGAATCAATGTCGGGACAGTTTATGGGGTCATGCCGGACCGATGCAAAAGCTTGTGGTGGTGCACCAAGGGGGCGACTTAGGGAGTGCGCCATGGGGTGGCTTGGGTGGTTCCCATGGTGTGTAACCATGCTCACCATGATACATGATATATGTATAACCCCCCCTCAAACTCAAATAGGTGTAAAGATAGAAACCTATTTGAGGTTGAAACAAAGGGATTAAATATTCTGAATAATCCATGTCATATACCATCTAACAAGATGTTCCACTCAAATCTTGTTAAGGGTTAAAATTGACACCTTAGAGGCCCCTTTTTTTTAAAATTTAAAAAAAAAAAATAAAATGAGGAGCTGCATTGGTTAAAATTACTGGTACAGAGATGACGGATCAAATCTCTGAACAAGATCTTCTTCACCAGGTCTTAACCATTCCCTGAAAAAACCAAACATCGAAATAAGTCACCAGCTCTTTACTCCATTCACCGCAATTATCGGTTGCCCATTCTCAAGAAACTCTAAAAGACACAACATGTAATAAACATAAGATCATGGTTTCAAATGCAGCATCAGTTATTGGGAGGTATCTGGCACCTCTGCAAACTGGTTCCTTAAACTCCCAACAAATAAACTGTATCATATCATTATCATTATGCTTTTAACAATTTGTGTCAAAAGCAATGATCTTAGTGATTTATTTTTCACGAAAGGCATCATCATCTCTTATTGGCATTGAGTTTAATACAGATTTTTAGTGTCAGTAGGAAATACTTTCATTTATCGACGTTACACCACTTTTCACGAGTACGATCGTGATTACAAAAGTGAGATTACATTTGAGCTTCCATTGTGCAATACCAGACAGAAATTGGAGAGGCAAATAAGATTAAAAATTCATCCAAGTTTCAAAGAAAGTACGGGAGTTTTCCAATTTTCATTTATCAATTAAATAATATTTGAAGGAATAGATGAGAAGTATTAAAGAAACATATAATAGTCTCCCAATTTTCATTTGTCAGTCAAATGAGGGAAAAGTGCATGGGCCAGTTTTGTATTATTAGCAGCAATGACAATGTTCTGCATGAATCCAATAGCTTAAAACATATATTTACATAAGTGTATGGCAGATTGCAGAATAATTATATAGGATATGACTAGAGGACAAGAGAACATACTCAATGTATCCGTTAGACAGTTCACAACCACCAACAAGACCAGGTCCTCCAATTTTTGGGTGCTGAAATGAAATAAAAAATCAGACTGCATAGCTTGAAATATCATAACTACATCTAAAGAGTTTTTAACAAGTACCTCAACAATAACAATTCAGTGCCATACTAAATATACTAAATATAGGTAGTGTAGTATTCACTACAACTAAAAGAGGAACAAAAGTGCAAATAATAAGTACATATTTTACTGTTTATGGACCCTTGCAGAAAGCAATAAAATAATTGACCATACGATTGCACACACTATTACTTGCGTATTTGGATTTAATTTTACCATTAATTCACTTCTATACTATAAGATTAAATGAGTGAAATTAATTTAGATTTGACACGCTCTAAAATTTCTTAACATTTAATGCAAGGAACTT